AGCTGGACGAGGTCCGGGGGGCTGTTCTCGGGGTGCAGCTCCTCATCCTCCAGCGAGGACCAGGCACTCAGTGTGGCCTCTGTGATGGCAAACTGCTCAGCAACCCCTGTGGGGGACAGCGGGACCCAGCTGAGCGAGAGCACGGCAGAGGGTGGGGGCCCGCGGTGCAGGGATGGCCTGGCACTGACAGCCAGGGGTCACCTGGGCTGTCCCTCCCGGCCCCGGTGATCGCAGTGCCACCTAATGCCCTGGCCACCCCATGCCATTGATTTCCCTGCCCAGACAATAACCCGGGGGTGACGCTGTGGCCCCTAAGGACCAGAGAGCCCTGGCCGGTGCCTGACCCCGAGCTCCCTGCCCCCCACTGNCCCTGGCCGGTGCCCGACCCCGAGCTCTCTGCCCCCCACTGACCGGCAGCAAAGCGGGCCTCACGCAGCTCGTCCGGGAGGCAGCAGTAATGCTCATCCTCGGTGGGCGACAGCTCCCAGCCCGACCGCTGCGCACTCCAGCCCTTCCACTCGATGAGGTGGGCNAGCCCTGGCCGGTGCCTGACCCCGAGCTCCCTGCCCCCCACTGACCGGCAGCAAAGCGGGCCTCACGCAGCTCGTCCGGGAGGCAGCAGTAATGCTCATCCTCGGTGGGCGACAGCTCCCAGCCCGACCGCTGCGCACTCCAGCCCTTCCACTCGATGAGGTGGGCCACACGGCCACGCGCCATGGCCGTGGGCTTCGTGATGTGGTCCTTGAAGCTCTGCACCACCCCTGGGGACATGGAGAGCAGTCGGGTAACTGTCCCGACACAAGGCCCAGCTCAGAGCTGCACCCCAGCAGCTCAGGCCCATCCGATGGCCTGTACCCCACATCCATTCAATGCCTGTGCCACCCCCTGCCCCATGCCCTCCCAGTGTCCTGCTCCCAGTCAGCATCCCTGGCCTCACTAGAGGCCAGACTGGGGGCTGAGAAAGCCAGGAGGAGGGCACCGATGTCCTCCTGATAGCGATGGGGAGCCACAGCGGGGTAATGAGCTGGAGAGTGGCAGGTTAGATCCGCAGTGTAGGGGCTTAGGGGCCAAAGGGATCCAGCAGGAGACAAGGGCTGGGCAGACAGGGAGCAGGGCCCGGAGGGGTTCTGAGGGTGGGCCAGTCGGGGGTGGAAGCTGACAGAGGGCTGTCAAGAATGATTCAGCATCTCCTTTAACCCAGGCTGACGACAGGTACGGGTGTCACCGGAGCTCCAGAGCCAGGGCGGAAAGGGCAGCAATGCTTTAGAAAGACAGAGGTCCACAAAGGAGACTAGAGCGTGGTGGGAAAAGGGGGAACAGGGAGGTGAGGAGGGAGGGGGGAACCCCTCCCCCCAGTTGGGGAGTGCTGGCCACTAGAGGAAGTTTGGGAGGAGGTGGTTCACGTGGTCCCGAGGGGCAGGCGAGGTGGAGAGAACAGCACAGCCCAAGTAGGGAGGGAGGGCAGCCAGGGCCCTGGGAGCCAGGGAGGGGAGGCAGCCGGATTTAATGAAAAGCTAGCGCAAGGCACCCCAGCAAAGCCGTGAGCACAGGGATGCTGAGGGGGCCCAGAGGCCGCGCTGTGGGAGGGGGCAAGGGCAGGGGCTGGGGTGGCCCCCTGAGGTTCCCTCCCAGGCCTGCGCACCCACCCCCGTGTCACGCCTGCACCCTTCTCTGCAGATCTGCCCTCAGCTATGGCACCTGCCTCACCCAGAGATGCCCGGAGGGCGCGGGTCCTCCCCAGGGGCAGACCGAGGGAGTAATATGAAGTCAGCCAACTCGCTTAGGTGCCCTCAATCCTGTGTGATCCGTGCTGCGGAGCTCCCTGGGTCAGGCGTGGAAGGGGGGCTTCTGCCCAGACCCTGCCCAGCTCCTCCCCTGCCCTGCCGGGCTGCGCTCGCCCCGCAGGCTGCCCCCAAGAAAGCCCCTCGGTAAGAGGCTCTGGTTCCAGGGGACAGAGCAAGGTGGCCAACGTGCAGGTTTCATCCCCGGCAGAGGCGGGGAGTCCACACCAGGCAGACAGCTGAGAAATGGGCCACCCCTCAGGGCCTGGGAGGCCCGCCATCCAGCCCGCGGGGGGGCCTGGGTTGCTCCTCCCTGCAGAGCCCTTGGAGCCGGCCATTCGGAAAGCGTGGATCCTGGGGCCCAGCCTTCCGGCTGCCACTCAGTCTTGTCTCCCCGCCCCCAACGCACACGGAGCTAGTTTCGGGGTGGGCTGTGCAAGCTCCCAGGGCAGGAGAGGGTAGCTGCCGCCTACCCACGAGGGAGGAGGTTGCCAGGGCTGCCACGCTGTAGCTGCTGGAGCAGGCTCTGGAGTGGGACAGGTAGCCATTGGTCGTCTGGAAGCACCTCTGCGGGAGGGGGAGGGGTCAGCAGGGGGGCAGACCTACCTGAGGAAGGCCCCCCATCACCATCACCATTATCCCCCCTCCCCAGGGCCACTGGGCCGCGGGCAGGGCCAGGGTGACCCTGCCAACTCCCACAGGACCATTCCCGCCCCCCCCCGCCCCGAGGGCTGGCAGGACTGTGCCCACCTGTGCCCAGCGGAAGGGGGGCAATGGCTGGGCTGGAGGACGGGAAAGTGCACTGACCTGCCAAGGATCCCAACAGAAATCCATCTGTTTGTCCTAAAATCAAAGGAGAGAGGATCAGGCAGGGCCTGGCATGGTGCCGGCAGGTGCCAATCGTCCTAGGCCCCTGGGTGGAGGTGTGGGCCACCTTCTGGTGGTCCCTGCGGCTGGGGTCTGCCTACTCCTGGGTCGTGCCCTGCTGTCCCCCGGCCTGCAGAGAAAGAAGTGTGGGGGGGGCGGGGACAGTGGAGGGGACAGGCTCTGCCAGGAGAGGCAGTGGAGGCAGGGGGTAGACCAGACCTGGGTTCGAGTTTTGACTCGGCCACTTCCGCCTGGGTGTCCTTAGACTAGTGACACAACATCTCAGAACATCAGTCTCGTCCTCTGTGAAATGGGACAGTGCCGTTTATCCCTGGGTTGTGGTGAAGCACATGACATCGTGTGGGCACGGTGTCTAGCACAATGCTTAGCAGGTGATATGTGCTCAAAATAAAAAAGGTAATTACATCGATCGCTAGGTCCCAGTCACCACCTCTGCGGCGAGCTCGAGGGTGGGGAAATGCGCCAGGAATTGAGGCCCCCCGGAGAGATGTGAGAATTCTACCCCGTTTGCTCCCAGCGGGCAGTGTGGGCTGCTAAGGCGTCCTGGGCCGGGAACAAAACTTCTTTGCAAGGTTGAGTTAAATGGGGCAGGAAGCCCTTGCGGGGCGGGGGGCTCTCTTTTCTACACAAGCCTGGTCTAGTCCCTGAATGGCCAGCCCGGGTCAGACCTCCACCCACCTGAATTCCAAACCTTAGGGGCCCTGAGCCCACGTTTGGCAGAGCGGGGCGGAGACTGGTGGTTCCCGCTCCCTGCGGGAGCTGCAGGGGACAGCCAGGGACCGGGGCGGAGGCGGGGATGG